ATCCTTCCATCCCACCCCACATCCTCCATCCCACCCCACATCCTCCATCCCACCCCACATCTTCCATCCCACCCCACATCCTCCATCCCACCCCACATCCTCCATCCCACCCCACATCTTCCATCCCACCCCACATCCTCCATCCCACCCCACATCCTCCATCCCACCCCACATCCTCCATCCCACCCCACATCTTCCATCCCACCCCACATCCTCCATCCCACCCCACATCTTCCATCCCACCCCACATCCTCCATCCCACCCCACATCTTCCATCCCACCCCACATCCTCCATCCCACCCCACATCTTCCATCCCACCCCACATCCTCCATCCCACCCGCACCTGCACGTGCCACCGCATGTCTCCGGAGTGTCGGGAGGAAGCGCTGCACTGCAGCCTGCGTGCCACACCGACTCCCATGCCACACCGACTCCCATGCCACACCGACTCCCATGCCACACCGACTCCCATGCCACACCGACTCCCATGCCCCACCGACTCCCATGCCACACCGACTCCCATGCCCCACCGACTCCCATGCCCCACCGACTCCCATGCCACACCGACTCCCATGCCACACCGACTCCCATGCCACACCGACTCCCATGCCACACCGACTCCCATGCCACACCGACTCCCATGCCCCACCGACTCCCATGCCACACCGACTCCCATGCCCCACCGACTCCCATGCCACACCGACTCCCATGCCACACCGACTCCCATGCCACACCGACTCCCATGCCCCACCGACTCCCATGCCACACCGACTCCCATGCCCCACCGACTCCCATGCCCCACCGACTCCCATGCCACACCGACTCCCATGCCACACCGACTCCCATGCCACACCGACTCCCATGCCACACCGACTCCCATGCCACACCGACTCCCATGCCCCACCGACTCCCATGCCACACCGACTCCCATGCCACACCGACTCCCATGCCACACCGACTCCCATGCCACACCGACTCCCATGCCCCACCGACTCCCATGCCACACCGACTCCCATGCCACACCGACTCCCATGCCACACCGACTCCCATGCCACACCGACTCCCATGCCACACCGACTCCCATGCCACACCGACTCCCATGCCACACCGACTCCCATGCCCCACCGACTCCCATGCCACACCGACTCCCATGCCACACCGACTCCCATGCCACACCGACTCCCATGCCACACCGACTCCCATGCCACACCAACTCCCATGCCACACCGACTCCCATGCCACACCGACTCCCATGCCACACCGACTCCCATGCCACACCGACTCCCATGCCCCACCGACTCCCATGCCCCACCAACTCCCATGCCCCACCAACTCCCATGCCCCACCAACTCCCATGCCCAGCCCATCCCCAAGCCCAACCCGCCACCCCCCACCCCCCCACCCACCTGCACGTGCCACCGCATGTCCCCGGAGTGTCGGGAGGAAGCGCTGCGCTGCAGCCTGCGGGCCACCGCCCCCACCGCCCCGACTGCCCCCTCCCCCGCCACCAGCGAGGCGTCAGCGGGGTCTAACCCCACTGGGAGGGCGTGAGTGGTGAGCTCGAATTCTGCCAGCACTGGCTTGTGGTCGCTGCAGGGAGGGAGAGGAGTGGGAGGGAGTGGAGTGCGGTTTAAAGGGTCAGCCGGGTCTAACCCCACTGGGAGGGCGTGAGTGGTGAGCTCGAATTCTGCCAGCACTGGCTTGTGGTCGCTGCAAGGAAAGGAGGAAGGGGAGAAGTAATAAGAGGGAGTAGGAGGGGGTGGAGCGCGGTTTGAACTCAGCCTGCGTGCCACCGCACCCACAACCCCCTCCGCCACCAGTGCTGCATCAGCGGGGTCCAATCCCACTCGGAGGGCGTGAGTAGTGAGCTCGAATTCTGCCGGGTCTAATGGGAAAGGGTCAACCGGGTCAGCCGGGTCAGCCAGGTCTAACCCCACTGGCAGGGCGTGAGTGGTGAGTTCAGACTCCGCTAGTATTGGTTTGTGGTCGCTGCAGGGAGCAACAGGGAGAAACAGGAGTGAGAGGGAGTGGACTGCGGTTCGCTGCAGCTTCCTTGCAACCACACCCACAACCCCCTCCGCCACCAGTGCTGCATCAGTTGGGTCTTCTGAGACGTCTCAAAAGTCATAAGCCGGGTCTATCTAAACCCACTGGCTGGCAGGGCGTGTTTTGAGACGTCTCAGAACTCAGCCGGGTCCAGGCCCCCACTGGCAGGGCGCGAGTGTTGAGCTCGAATGAAGGGAATGGTGAAGGGAATGGTGAAGGGAATGGTGAAGGGAATTCTGCCAGCACTGGCTTGTGGTCGCTGGATTGGGGGGGAAAGGGGGAAAGCGCGAAAGCAGTGCGGAACGGAGGCAACACTGTTGTAGCCACGCCCACCCGTCTGATCACAGCTCTACTAAGGAGTTACCATACCAATCGAGCCCCATTTAGAGGCCATGGTTCGATACGTGGCAGCAAGTGATTAGAGTATGACACCTAGAGTAGGTTTGGTGTTTGTGTAGGAACACGCTTGTAGGAACACGTTTGTAGCGATGCCCACCCGTATGATCACAGCTCTACTAAGGAGTTACCATACCTTCCCTTCCCCTTCGCCCCACCTGCTGCTCCCCGCGCAATGAGCAGCATAGTTTAGTTTTTAGGCGCCTCAAAACTAGACTCCCCGTGCCATGAGCAGCATAGTTTAGTTTTGAGGCGCCTCAAAACTAGACTCCCCGCGCCATGAGCAGCATAGTATCGCAAATCCCATCGAGCCCCAGTTGGAAACCATGGATGGTTCAATACGTGTTTCGAGACGTCTCAAAACACCCAGTTAGGAACCATGGTTCAATACGTGGCAGCAACTTGTCAGTTCAGACACCTGAGAGCATCGTATCTCGTGCACACGAGCTGGCAGCACCATTGGAATCAGCCCCACCCACCTCCCTACCTACCACCCCCCACCCCCACCTGCTCCCCCCGTCATGCGCGGCATGATAGCGAGTGCAAGGCAGCTGGCATGATAGCGAGTGCAAGGCAGCTGGCATGATAGCGAGTGCAAGGCAGCTGGCATGATAGCGAGTGCAAGGCAGCTGGCATGATAGCGAGTGCAAGGCAGCTGGCAGCACCATGACAAACACACCTTCACCAACTGCATCTCACACTCTCCCCTTCACCAACTGCATCTCACACTGAGCTGAGCTCCCAAACCCCTCACCTCAACACTCTTCCACCTCACCTGCTCCCCACCTCACCTGCTCCCCACCTCACCTGCTCCCCACGTCGTGAGCTGCATCGCAGCGAGCGCAAGACAGCTGGCAGCCGGGCAGTGAGCGCAATACCTTTCATACCACCTACCTCTCATTACCTTCCCCTACCCCCACCTCCTCCCCACCCTCACCACACCCCCACCTGCTCCCCACGTCGTGCGCGGCGTCGTAGCGAGTGCACGCCAGCTGGCAGCCGGGCAGCGAGCGCCAGAGGATGCGGTCGCACCACGCTGGTAACCGCTTGCTGTTGTACTTCCCCACTTCGTTGCGGATCACCTGTCATGGTTGGGGTAGGTGGGGAAGGGGAAGGCGAGGGATTATGGCCAGAGGATGCGGTCGCACCACGCTGGTAACCGCTTGCTGTTGTACTTCCCCACTTCGTTGCGAATGACCTACAATGGGGGGGGGGGGGGGGGGGAGAGGAAGTGGCGAGGAAAGAGATGAAAGGCTGCCCACCACGCTGCAGGCGCTTGCTGAGCGCATGCCGTCGCACCACGCTGGTAACCACTTGCTGTTGTGTCTCCCCACTTCGTTGCGAATGACCTGTGATGGGAAAGAAGGGAAGGGTGATGGGAACAGGGAAGCCAACGCAGCAGCAGAGCAGGGCGGCAGCCGGGAAGGGAGGGCCAGAGAATGTGAAAGAGGTGTGTCGGTGTGAAGGGAGGGCCGGAGAATGTGAAAGAGGTGTGTCGGTGTGAAGGGAGGGCCAGAGAATGTGAAAGAGGTGTGTCGGTGTGAAGGGAGGGCCAGAGAATGTGAAAGAGGTGTGTCGGTGTGAAGGGAGGGCCAGAGAATGTGAAAGAGGTGTGTCGGTGTGAAGGGAGGGCCAGAGAATGTGAAAGAGGTGTGTCGGTGTGAAGGGAGGGCCAGAGAATGTGAAAGAGGTGTGTCGGTGTGAAGGGAGGGCCAGAGAATGTGAAAGAGGTGTGTCGGTGTGAAGGGAGGGCCAGAGAATGTGAAAGAGGTGTGTCGGTGTGAAGGGAGGGCCAGAGAATGTGAAAGAGGTGTGTCGGTGTGAAGGGAGGGCCAGAGAATGTGAAAGAGGTGTGTCGGTGTGAAGGGAGGGCCAGAGAATGTGAAAGAGGTGTGTCGGTGTGAAGGGAGGGCCAGAGAATGTGAAAGAGGTGTGTCGGTGTGAAGGGAGGGCCAGAGAATGTGAAAGAGGTGTGTCGGTGTGAAGGGAGGGCCAGAGAATGTGAAAGAGGTGTGTCGGTGTGAAGGGAGGGCCAGAGAATGTGAAAGAGGTGTGTCGGTGTGAAGGGAGGGCCGGAGAATGTGAAAGAGGTGTGTCGGTGTGAAGGGAGGGCCAGAGAATGTGAAAGAGGTGTGTCGGTGTGAAGGGAGGGCCAGAGAATGTGAAAGAGGTGTGTCGGTGTGAAGGGAGGGCCAGAGAATGTGAAAGAGGTGTGTCGGTGTGAAGGGAGGGCCAGAGAATGTGAAAGAGGTGTGTCGGTGTGAAGGGAGGGCCAGAGAATGTGAAAGAGGTGTGTCGGTGTGAAGGGAGGGCCAGAGAATGTGAAAGAGGTGTGTCGGTGTGAAGGGAGGGCCAGAGAATGTGAAAGAGGTGTGTCGGTGTGAAGGGAGGGCCAGAGAATGTGAAAGAGGTGTGTCGGTGTGAAGGGAGGGCCAGAGAATGTGAAAGAGGTGTGTCGGTGTGAAGGGAGGGCCAGAGAATGTGAAAGAGGTGTGTCGGTGTGAAGGGAGGGCCAGAGAATGCGGTAGCCTTTTGAGTCGATTCAAAATTCGACTCATCACAAGAGAATGCGGTCGCTCGCACCACGCTGGTAGCCGCCGCTTGCTGCTGTATCGGCCCACCCACCCACCTCGTTGCGAGTGCCCTGTTGGTGTGGGGAGGGGAGAGGCACGGGGTTGTGGTTAGAGCATGGTAACCTTCGCCCCACCTTGTTGGGGAGGGATGGAAAAGGGATGTGGTGGGGTGGGGGAGGGGAGAAGCTATGCACCACGCTGGTAGCCGCCGCTTGCTGTTGTATCGGCCCACCTCGTTGCGAGTGCCCTGGTGGAGAGAGGTGGGGGAAGAGGTGAGAGGGGAGGCGAGGAGAGGAGAGGCGAGGCGAGGAGAGGAGAGGCGAGGCGAGGAGAGGAGAGGCGAGGCGAGGAGAGGAGAGGCGAGGCGAGGAGAGGAGAGGCGAGGCGAGGAGAGGAGAGGCGAGGCGAGGAGAGGAGAGGCGAGGCGAGGAGAGGAGAGGCGAGGCGAGGAGAGGGATGGAGAAAGCTATGCACCACGCTGGCAGGAGCTTGCTGCTGTATAGCAAGCCCCACCGAGGTGTGAAAGAGGTGAGTCGGTGTGAAGTGAAAGAGGTGAGTCGGTGTGAAGGGGAGAAGCAGCGGATGAAGGAATGAATTGAAGGGACGTAACGCGAAAGGGTCAGCTCGACGGAAATCATTCTTGGGGAATTCTCAGATGAAAAGTGAAAGGATTTCTTCCGCTGGCCCTTTTCATTATTGAGGGGGAGAGGAGCGGTGGGGTGGGGGAGGAGAGTGGGAGGGGAGAACGTCTTGAGTCAAATCACAGGTCAGGATTTGAGATTCGAGGCATAGGTGGGTGGTGGCTTGCCTTGAATGTAGGGGCAAAGGTGATCGGCGCTTCTTGAAACTTGTAGAAAACTCGGCCCTCCCGAATCTCCCTCTGCAACTGCATTGACTCCAAGGGGAGGCAGCAGAAGAGGGGAGGGGGGTTGGGTTCGGGGGTGCCAAGCAGAGGGAAGGGAGCGACGAGATGAGGCGAAGGTGATGGGTGCTTCTTGAAACTTGTGAAACACTCGGCTCCGCCCTCCCGAATCTGCAACTGCATTGACTCCAAGGGGAGGCAGCAGAAGGGGAAAGGGACGCAACTGCATCACTCCATGGGATGGGGGCATGTGGGGGAAGGGGGCATGGGGGGGAAGGGGGCATGGGGGGGAAGGGGGCATGGGGGGAAGGGGCAATGGGGGGAAAGGTCGCATGGGGGGAAAGGAGGCATGGGGAGGGGGGATTTGATTGCAGGGAGCAGTTGAGTATGTGGGAAATTGAATCAAGTGAGGAGAGAGGTTTCATAGCAAGTTTGTGGACAAGCCGCACTCCACCGCTCCGTACCTCGTCATACTCCAGCAGAGCGTCAAACTCCCTGTTGCGGATCTGCTCCAACGTGCTCTCATGCACCGCTGCCCGCCTGCATGCATGGGTAGAGGGAAAGGGTGGGCGGAAGGAAGGGGTGGGGCGAAGGAAAGGCGTGTTATGAGTCGATTCAAAACTGCGTCAAACTCCCTGTTGCGGATCTGCTCCAACGTCTCATGCACCGCCGCTCTCCTGCACAGGTGGGTGTGGGAAAGCGGGTAGGTGGCGAGAGGGAAACGAGGGGAAGTGGATGGGGCGGAGGAACAAGGGAGAGGAAAGGGGTGGGCGGAGGAACAAGGGAGAGGAAAGGGGTGGGCGGAGGAACAAGGGAGAGGAAAGGGGTGGGCGGAGGAACAAGGGAGAGGAAAGGGGTGGGCGGAGGAACAAGGGAGAGGAAAGGGGTGGGCGGAGGAACAAGGGAGAGGAAAGGGGTGGGCGGAGGAACAAGGGAGAGGAAAGGGGTGGGCGGAGGAACAAGGGAGAGGAAAGGGGTGGGCGGAGGAACAAGGGAGAGGAAAGGGGTGGGCGGAGGAACAAGGGAGAGGAAGGGGTGGGCGGAGGAACAAGGGAGAGGAAAGGGTGGGCGGAGGAACAAGGGAGAGAAAGGGTGGGCGGAGGAACAAGGGAGAGGAAGGGTGGGCGGAGGAACAAGGGAGAGGAAAGGGGTGGGCGGAGGAACAAGGGAGAGGAAAGGGTGGGCGGAGGAACAAGGGAGAGGAAAGGGGGGGGGCGGAGGAACAAGGGAGAGGAAAGGGGTGGGCGGAGGAACAAGGGAGAGGAAAGGGGTGGGCGGAGGAACAAGGGAGAGGAAAGGGGTGGGCGGAACAAGGGAGAGGAAAAGGGGTGGGCGGAGGAACAAGGGAGAGGAAAGGGGTGGGCGGAGGAACAAGGGAGAGAAAGGGGTGGGCGGAGGAACAAGGGAGAGGAAAGGGTGGGCGGAGGAACAAGGGAGAGGAAAGGGTGGGGCGGAGGAACAAGGGAGAGGAAAGGGGTGGGCGGAGGAACAAGGGAGAGGAAAGGGGTGGGCGGAGGAACAAGGGAGAGGAAAGGGGTGGGCGGAGGAACAAGGGAGAGGAAAGGGGTGGGCGGAGGAACAAGGGAGAGGAAAGGGGTGGGCGGAGGAACAAGGGAGAGGAAAGGGGTGGGCGGAGGAACAAGGGAGAGGAAAGGGGTGGGCGGAGGAACAAGGGAGAGGAAAGGGGTGGGCGGAGGAACAAGGGAGAGGAAAGGGGTGGGCGGAGGAACAAGGGAGAGGAAAGGGGTGGGCGGAGGAACAAGGGAGAGGAAAGGGGTGGGCGGAGGAACAAGGGAGAGGAAAGGGGTGGGCGGAGGAACAAGGGAGAGGAAAGGGGTGGGCGGAGGAACAAGGGAGAGGAAAGGGGTGGGCGGAGGAACAAGGGAGAGGAAAGGGTGGGCGGAGGAACAAGGGAGAGGAAAGGGGTGGGCGGAGGAACAAGGGAGAGGAAAGGGGGGGGCGGAGGAACAAGGGAGAGGAAAGGGTGGGCGGAGGAACAAGGGAGAGGAAAGGGGTGGGCGGAGGAACAAGGGAGAGGAAGGGGTGGGCGGAGGAACAAGGGAGAGGGCGGAGGAACAAGGGAGAGGAAAGGGGTGGGCGGAGGAACAAGGGAGAGGAAAGGGGTGGGCGGAGGAACAAGGGAGAGGAAAGGGGTGGGCGGAGGAACAGGGAGAGGAAAGGGGTGGGCGGAGGAACAAGGGAGAGGAAAGGGGTGGGCGGAGGAACAAGGGAGAGGAAAGGGGTGGGCGGAGGAACAAGGGAGAGGAAAGGGGTGGGCGGAGGAACAAGGGAGAGGAAAGGGGTGGGCGGAGGAACAAGGGAGAGGAAAGGGGTGGGCGGAGGAACAAGGGAGAGGAAAGGGGTGGGCGGAGGAACAAGGGAGAGGAAAGGGGTGGGCGGAGGAACAAGGGAGAGGAAAGGGGTGGGCGGAGGAACAAGGGAGAGGAAAGGGGTGGGCGGAGGAACAAGGGAGAGGAAAGGGGTGGCGGAGGAACAAGGGAGAGGAAAGGGGTGGGCGGAGGAACAAGGGAGAGGAAAGGGGTGGTCGGAGGAACAAGGGAGAGGAAAGGGGTGGGCGGAGGAACAAGGGAGAGGAAAGGGGTGGGCGGAGGAACAAGGGAGAGGAAAGGGGTGGGCGGAGGAACAAGGGAGAGGAAAGGGGTGGGCGGAGGAACAAGGGAGAGGAAAGGGGTGGCGGAGGAACAAGGAGAGGAAAGGGGTGGGCGGAGGAACAAGGGAGAGGAAAGGGGTGGGCGGAGGAACAAGGGAGAGGAAAGGGGTGGGCGGAGGAACAAGGGAGAGGAAAGGGGTGGGCGGAGGAACAAGGGAGAGGAAAGGGGTGGGCGGAGGAACAAGGGAGAGGAAAGGGGTGGGCGGAGGAACAAGGGAGAGGAAAGGGGTGGGCGGAGGAACAAGGGAGAGGAAAGGGGTGGGCGGAGGAACAAGGGAGAGGAAAGGGGTGGGCGGAGGAACAAGGGAGAGGAAAGGGGTGGGCGGAGGAACAAGGGAGAGGAAAGGGGTGGGCGGAGGAACAAGGGAGAGGAAAGGGGTGGGCGGAGGAACAAGGGAGAGGAAAGGGGTGGGCGGAGGAACAAGGGAGAGGAAAGGGGTGGGCGGAGGAACAAGGGAGAGGAAAGGGGTGGGCGGAGGAACAAGGGAGAGGAAAGGGGTGGGCGGAGGAACAAGGGAGAGGAAAGGGGTGGGCGGAGGAACAAGGGAGAGGAAAGGGGTGGGCGGAGGAACAAGGGAGAGGAAAGGGGTGGGCGGAGGAACAAGGGAGAGGAAAGGGGTGGGCGGAGGAACAAGGGAGAGGAAAGGGGTGGGCGGAGGAACAAGGGAGAGGAAAGGGGTGGGCGGAGGAACAAGGGAGAGGAAAGGGGTGGGCGGAGGAACAAGGGAGAGGAAAGGGGTGGGCGGAGGAACAAGGGAGAGGAAAGGGGTGGGCGGAGGAACAAGGGAGAGGAAAGGGGTGGGCGGAGGAACAAGGGAGAGGAAAGGGGTGGGCGGAGGAACAAGGGAGAGGAAAGGGTGGGCGGAGGAACAAGGGAGAGGAAAGGGGTGGGCGGAGGAACAAGGAGAGGAAAGGGGTGGGCGGAGGAACAAGGGAGAGGAAAGGGGTGGGCGGAGGAACAAGGGAGAGGAAAGGGGTGGGCGGAGGAACAAGGGAGAGGAAAGGGGTGGGCGGAGGAACAAGGGAGAGGAAAGGGGTGGGCGGAGGAACAAGGGAGAGGAAAGGGGTGGGCGGAGGAACAAGGGAGAGGAAAGGGGTGGGCGGAGGAACAAGGGAGAGGAAAGGGGTGGGCGGAGGAACAAGGGAGAGGAAAGGGGTGGGCGGAGGAACAAGGGAGAGGAAAGGGGTGGGCGGAGGAACAAGGGAGAGGAAAGGGGTGGGCGGAGGAACAAGGGAGAGCAAAGGGGTGGGCGGAGGAACAAGGGAGAGGAAAGGGGTGGGCGGAGGAACAAGGGAGAGGAAAGGGGTGGGCGGAGGAACAAGGGAGAGGAAAGGGGTGGGCGGAGGAACAGGGAGAGGAAAGGGGTGGGCGGAGGAACAAGGGAGAGGAAAGGGGTGGGCGGAGGAACAAGGGAGAGGAAAGGGGTGGGCGGAGGAACAAGGGAGAGGAAAGGGGTGGGCGGAGGAACAAGGGAGAGGAAAGGGTGGGCGGAGGAACAAGGGAGAGGAAAGGGGTGGGCGGAGGAACAAGGGAGAGGAAAGGGGTGGGCGGAGGAACAAGGAGAGGAAAGGGGTGGGCGGAGGAACAAGGGAGAGGAAAGGGGTGGGCGGAGGAACAAGGGAGAGGAAAGGGGTGGGCGGAGGAACAAGGGAGAGGAAAGGGTGGGCGGAGGAACAAGGGAGAGGAAAGGGGTGGGCGGAGGAACAAGGGAGAGGAAAGGGTGGGCGGAGGAACAAGGGAGAGGAAGGGGTGGTCGGAGGAACAAGGGAGAGGAAAGGGGTGGGCGGAGGAACAAGGGAGAGGAAAGGGGTGGGCGGAGGAACAAGGGAGAGGAAAGGGGTGGGCGGAGGAACAAGGGAGAGGAAAGGGGTGGGCGGAGGAACAAGGGAGAGGAAAGGGGTGGGCGGAGGAACAAGGGAGAGGAAAGGGGTGGGCGGAGGAACAAGGGAGAGGAAAGGGGTGGGCGGAGGAACAAGGGAGAGGAAAGGGGTGGGCGGAGGAACAAGGGAGAGGAAAGGGGTGGGCGGAGGAACAAGGGAGAGGAAAGGGGTGGGCGGAGGAACAAGGGAGAGGAAAGGGGTGGGCGGAGGAACAAGGGAGAGGAAAGGGGTGGGCGGAGGAACAAGGGAGAGGAAAGGGGTGGGCGGAGGAACAAGGGAGAGGAAAGGGGTGGGCGGAGGAACAAGGGAGAGGAAAGGGGTGGGCGGAGGAACAAGGGAGAGGAAAGGGGTGGGCGGAGGAACAAGGGAGAGGAAAGGGGTGGGCGGAGGAACAAGGGAGAGGAAAGGGGTGGGCGGAGGAACAAGGGAGAGAAAGGGGTGGGCGGAGGAACAAGGGAGAGGAAAGGGTGGGCGGAGGAACAAGGGAGAGGAAAGGGGTGGGCGGAGGAACAAGGGAGAGGAAAGGGGTGGGCGGAGGAACAAGGGAGAGGAAAGGGGTGGGCGGAGGAACAAGGGAGAGGAAAGGGGTGGGCGGAGGAACAAGGGAGAGGAAAGGGGTGGGCGGAGGAACAAGGGAGAGGAAAGGGGTGGGCGGAGGAACAAGGGAGAGGAAAGGGGTGGGCGGAGGAACAAGGGAGAGGAAAGGGGTGGGCGGAGGAACAAGGGAGAGGAAAGGGGTGGGCGGAGGAACAAGGGAGAGGAAAGGGGTGGGCGGAGGAACAAGGGAGAGGAAAGGGGTGGGCGGAGGAACAAGGGAGAGGAAAGGGGTGGGCGGAGGAACAAGGGAGAGGAAAGGGGTGGGCGGAGGAACAAGGGAGAGGAAAGGGGTGGGCGGAGGAACAAGGGAGAGGAAAGGGGTGGGCGGAGGAACAAGGGAGAGGAAAGGGGTGGGCGGAGGAACAAGGGAGAGGAAAGGGGTGGGCGGAGGAACAAGGGAGAGGAAAGGGGTGGGCGGAGGAACAAGGAGAGGAAAGGGGTGGGCGGAGGAACAAGGGAGAGGAAAGGGGTGGGCGGAGGAACAAGGGAGAGGAAAGGGTGGGCGGAGGAACAAGGGAGAGGAAAGGGGTGGGCGGAGGAACAAGGGAGAGGAAAGGGGTGGGCGGAGGAACAAGGGAGAGGAAAGGGGTGGGGGCGGAGAACAAGGGAGAGGAAAGGGGTGGGCGGAGGAACAAGGGAGAGGAAAGGGGTGGGCGGAGGAACAAGGGAGAGGAAAGGGGTGGGCGGAGGAACAAGGGAGAGGAAAGGGGTGGGCGGAGGAACAAGGGAGAGGAAAGGGGTGGGCGGAGGAACAAGGGAGAGGAAAGGGGTGGGCGGAGGAACAAGGGAGAGGAAAGGGGTGGGCGGAGGAACAAGGGAGAGGAAAGGGGTGGGCGGAGGAACAAGGGAGAGGAAAGGGGTGGGCGGAGGAACAAGGGAGAGGAAAGGGGTGGGCGGAGGAACAAGGGAGAGGAAAGGGGTGGGCGGAGGAACAAGGGAGAGGAAAGGGGTGGGCGGAGGAACAAGGGAGAGGAAAGGGGTGGGCGGAGGAACAAGGGAGAGGAAAGGGGTGGTCGGAGGAACAAGGGAGAGGAAAGGGGTGGGCGGAGGAACAAGGGAGAGAAAGGGTGGGCGGAGGAACAAGGGAGAGGAAAGGGGTGGGCGGAGGAACAAGGGAGAGGAAAGGGGTGGGCGGAGGAACAAGGGAGAGGAAAGGGGTGGGCGGAGGAACAAGGGAGAGGAAAGGGGTGGGCGGAGGAACAAGGGAGAGGAAAGGGGTGGGCGGAGGAACAAGGGAGAGAAAGGGGTGGGCGGAGGAACAAGGGAGAGGAAAGGGGTGGGCGGAGGAACAAGGGAGAGGAAAGGGGTGGGCGGAGGAACAAGGGAGAGGAAAGGGGTGGGCGGAGGAACAAGGGAGAGGAAAGGGGTGGGCGGAGGAACAAGGGAGAGGAAAGGGGTGGGCGGAGGAACAAGGGAGAGGAAAGGGGTGGGCGGAGGAACAAGGGAGAGGAAAGGGGTGGGCGGAGGAACAAGGGAGAGGAAAGGGGTGGGCGGAGGAACAAGGGAGAGGAAAGGGGTGGGCGGAGGAACAAGGGAGAGGAAAGGGTGGGCGGAGGAACAAGGGAGAGGAAAGGGGGGGCGGAGGAACAAGGGAGAGGAAAGGGGTGGGCGGAGGAACAAGGGAGAGGAAAGGGGTGGGCGGAGGAACAAGGGAGAGGAAAGGGGTGGGCGGAGGAACAAGGGAGAGGAAAGGGGTGGGCGGAGGAACAAGGGAGAGGAAAGGGGTGGGCGGAGGAACAAGGGAGAGGAAAGGGGTGGGCGGAGGAACAAGGGAGAGGAAAGGGGTGGGCGGAGGAACAAGGGAGAGGAAAGGGGTGGGCGGAGGAACAAGGAGAGGAAAGGGGTGGCGCGGAGGAACAAGGGAGAGGAAAGGGGTGGGCGGAGGAACAAGGGAGGGAAAGGGGTGGGCGGAGGAACAAGGGGAGGGAAAGGGGTGGGCGGAGGAACAAGGGAGAGGAAGGGGTGGGCGGAGGAACAAGGGAGAGGAAAGGGGTGGGCGGAGGAACAAGGGAGAGGAAAGGGGTGGGCGGAGGAACAAGGGAGAGGAAAGGGGTGGGCGGAGGAACAAGGGAGAGGAAAGGGGTGGGCGGAGAACAAGGGAGAGGAAAGGGGTGGGCGGAGGAACAAGGGAGAGGAAAGGGGTGGGCGGAGGAACAAGGGAGAGGAAAGGGGTGGGCGGAGGAACAAGGGAGAGGAAAGGGTGGGCGGAGGAACAAGGGAGAGGAAAGGGGTGGGCGGAGGAACAAGGGAGAGGAAAGGGGTGGGCGGAGGAACAAGGGAGAGGAAGGGGGTGGGCGGAGGAACAAGAGAGGAAGGGGTGGGCGGAGGAACAAGGGAGAGGAAAGGGGTGGGCGGAGGAAAGGGTGGGCGGAGGAAAGGGGTGGGCGGAGGAAAGGGTGGGCGGAGGAAAGGGGTGGGCGGAGGAAAGGGGTGGGCGGAGGAAAGGGGTGGGCGGAGGAAAGGGGTGGGCGGAGGAAAGGGGTGGGCGGAGGAAAGGGGTGGGCGGAGGAAAGGGGTGGGCGGAGGAAAGGGGTGGGCGGAGGAAAGGGGTGGGCGGAGGAAAGGGGTGGGCGGAGGAAAGGGGTGGGCGGAGGAAAGGGGTGGTGGAGGAAAGGGGTGGGCGGAGGAAAGGGGTGGGCGGAGGAAAGGGTGGGCGGAGGAAAGGGGTGGGCGGAGGAAAGGGGTGGGCGGAGGAAAGGGGTGGGCGGAGGAAAGGGGTGGGCGGAGGAAAGGGGTGGGCGGAGGAAAGGGGTGGGCGGAGGAAAGGGGTGGGCGGAGGAAAGGGGTGGGCGGAGGAAAGGGGTGGGCGGAGGAAAGGGGTGGGCGGAGGAAAGGGGTGGGCGGAGGAAAGGGGTGGGCGGAGGAAAGGGGTGGGCGGAGGAAAGGGGTGGGCGGAGGAAAGGGGTGGGCGGAGGAAAGGGGTTGGGCTGGGCAATGGGTTAGGGTTTCGGATTAGGGGTTCAGTTTCCCACTCCCCCTACCCTGCCCCACCCTCTTACCTTCATCCCAGATTCACGCTGTCCTCACCCCCCTCCTCCACTCCCCCCCTTCCTCTTCCCCCCTTTATCCCCCTCCTCCCCTTCCTTTCTCTCCATTCTCCACCACCCTCCGCCAGCTCATTAACTTCCCTCTCTCATCCCTTCTCTCTCCCCACCACACCTTCGTCAGACCATGTCAGGAAGTGAGTGGGTCCTTCCAATAAAGAACACATTGTCTTGGCATGACCTAACTTCTTTCTTTCCAGATGAACTGAGACGACTTTTGAGGCGCCTCTAAGGTAAAGAACACATTGTCATGACAAGAGCTGATTTCTTTCTTTCCGGCTAATGTCAGGACCATGTTTTCTTTACTAGAAGGACCCACTCACTTCCCCACTGTCCTCCCTCCTCCCCCTCCCCTTTTTTTCCTTGCCCTCCCCTCTCCACACTCTCGCTTACCACTTCCCACCACACCACACCCCCCTCGCTCACGCTTGTTTCTCCGAAGACTCTTTCTCATGTCAGCGACGGTTCAGAGTCAGAGGCCGCATTGCCACTTGTGTCCTTTTGCCCTTCCCTGCCCCTCTCTATCCACCTACCCCCCGCAACACCACACACACCCCATCCCCACTCACGCTTGCTTCTCCAGTGATTTCTTTGACGACAGCGACGGTGCAGAGGCCGCCTTGCCGACCTTCTCGTGGCTCCCCCCTCCCCCTCTGCGGAACAAAGCCAGGCTGCCGGCGCTCAGCACACGCTTGTGCCCCTCTCTCGGGGTCAACTCCCCCCTTCCCCCACTCCCGGCGTCGAACTCCCTTCCCCAGGTGTCCGCGCCCCCCCTTCCTCTGTCAACCCCTCTTCTCCCCCTCCTCCCCCTCCTCCCCCTCCTCCCCCTCCTCCCCCTCCCAGCATAGGGCTCAACGGTTGTCGAGCCGACCCACCGTTTCTCTCCAACCCACCCTCCTCCCCAACCACTTCCCCCTCGCCAGCCCCGCCCTCCCCCGTTTCATTCCCCCTTTCCCCCGCCCCCCCGCCCCCGCCCCCGCCTCCGCGCCCATTCCGCCCCCCTCCCCCCCGCCTGGGGAGCCCCGAAAGCTTGCACCAATCACATCGCCGCCTGCCACGTCATTCCCACTCGAGCTCTTAATCATGCGACTCGCGCCCGTCTTCTCTCCCCCTCTCCCGTTCATTCCCCCACTGTTGCTGCTGGGACTGTTCGGTGGAGGCAGTTTTCCGTTAACTTTTGTGCTGCTGCCCGGAGAAGCGTGTTTTTTCGAGCTGCCCAGATCGAGAATCGTGTTGAAGCTACCCTTTGTTGACTTTAAAAACCCTTTTAGAATCTCCCCTGAGCTTCCGATGCTGCCCCTCTTCCGAGCCTCCTTCCGAGGTTCGGCATCAACACTGTCAGTCTCCCGAGCCTCCTGTGCCTCCCGAGCCTTCTGAACCTCCCGAGCCTTCTGAACATCCCGAGCCTCCTCCCCAGCCTCGTCGTCATCATTACCACTGCTGGAATCCTCAGCTTCGTCCTCTGAGCTGTCATCGTCTAATTGGTCGAGAGCTCTCGCGCTGAAAGCAGGGCCGGCCCGGGAAGCAGCACCAGCACCACCGGAAGCAGCAGCAGCAATCGCACGGTAAGACGCAGCAGCAGCGGCAACAGCCGCGCCGGCACCAGCAGCAACAGCACCAGCCGCAGCACCAGCGCCGGCAGCAACGGCACCAGCAGCAGCGCCGGCACCAGCGGCAACAGCAGCACCGGCAGCACCGGCAGCAGCACCCGCGGCACCGGCGGCAGCAGCAGCAGAAGCTGGGAATGAGACCACCGAAGGCAATGGGCCCGATAACCCAGCAGAAGCAGCAGCAGCAGGCGGGTGGGAAGAGTCTAGCAGCGTCAGCCGGTAGTTCAAATCGCCCATCCAGAAGAGATGGTGGAACTGGTTCAAGAGGTCCACACTTGAAAGCCCCGGCCGCATGTTCTGCACCACCTCCCTGTAATTGTCATTCCTCGCCCCACACTGCCCCTCATGCGCCGCCAGATGCGAGTTAATGAAACACAGCGGCGTGTCCCAGAATCTGAGAGACACGCATACAGCGCCTTTGTTCGCGATCACGTGCCCGATTCCCGTCGCCTCGCTGGTAACCACTATGTCGGTAACGGCTCGTTGGGAGGAGTCTAAGACGAGAACGACGAGCCGCATCTGCCCTCTCGAAGCGCCCTTTACTAAGCGGTATCTTGGGCCGAAATGCGACCGGATACACGCCACCCAGTCGTCCATACACGTGGCATGCCCCGCGCGCGGCGGATACTCGCACTCCTGAGATCCGATCGCGATCAGATCGTGTTTGCCGCCCACGGGGAGCCACGGGGAGAGATCCGCCGCGGGCGGCGCGTTCCCCACGTTCCAGGAGCCGATGAAAAGCGACACGCGCTGCTCCGGAGGCGCGCGCGCCGCCACCGCCTGCAGCAGAACGCGCCCCACGATCGCTCCCTTCTTCCCCGTCGGCGCGCGGAGCTCGTGCCACCGCGGCTCGACCGCCTTATCCGGATCGAGCTCGAGCAGCGACGCGACGGAGAGCGGCTCGATCGCGCCAATCACCTGCTTCAGCCCGATCGCCAGCGCGCCGCGCCCCAGCGCGCAGTGAACGAGCGCGACGGACACGCGCGCGGTGGTTTCGTCTTTCACTGTGAACGCGTGCCCTTGGTTGACCTCTATTAGTCCTTCCGCCTGCCCCTCCGCGGCTTGCGCTTCCCCCGAATGCGCTCCGCCCTGCGTTTCCGCTTGCGCTTCAACCGTCTGCGCTTCCGCTTGCGCTTCAACCGTCTGCGCTTCCGCTTGCGCTTCCCCATCCGTCGATTCCCCTTTTCCATCCTCCCCCTTGCCCTTTTTCCCCCCCTTCTCCCCCGCCTTCCCCTTACCCTCCGCCGACTTCCCCTTGATCTCCTTGGTGCAAAAGTGTGAGTTTTCTACTTTAATCAGCACCATAGACGGCACTTGCAGAAGATTAGCAGCCTGCCGCGCCGCGTCGGTGACGTCTTTAATCGCCCCCAATTTCAAGTCTTTCACCGCCAGAACCGCCACGCTCACGCGGCACGCACGCTGCGCTTCCGCGCTTGTCCCCTCTTCCCCCCCGCCCGTTTTCGAAGTGGCCGTCGCCGCGCTCGCATCGCCTTCGGGGGAAAGGAGAGGAGCGGCGGCATGCTTGGCGGAAGCGGGGGAAATGCAGGGGAGGCGCGGCATGCAGTTGGGGGAGGGATGGGCGTCCCGCAGAAGAACCGCCGACTCGCTCATGATGGCTCTCCGTATTTCGCGGGGATGGTTGAGAGGAAGGGTAGGGGGGAGGGGAGGGGGAGGGAGGGGGGGAACCGCGGTAACTTGCAGAGACGCGTAATTTCCGTCAACGGGTGATCCGTTAGCCAAGCGCGACGCGAAAGGCGACGCAAAGGCGAACTACGCGACACGACACCCGGTTAAGAAGCTGGCAGCTTTCGAGTTAAGTTAAGCCTTCCATCGATTGGCCTGTCCTTTTTGATAAGCGAGCGACTAGGGAAATGTCGAACTATGTGCAAGCATGTGCGAATAATTGGCGAAAAATGGGCGAATTAAGTGCGAACAATGTGCGACAAATAGGCAAGTAGCAGCTGGTGCTACGGAGTCAATCAACGATGCGGGAGAGCAGATGCATCCACAGCACCGCGCAAACGGGCGATGGGGAGCGGTCTAAAACGCGAACAAACCAACAACTGAACGAACGAGAGAACGAATGAATGAACGCACGCTGGTGGGATTGCAGGAAGTTAGCCACCTCGCGTCGTGCTTTTGATGTGCTTTACTCCTTCCTACTCGCCTCAGTCCCCTCGTTTGCGTTTCTATACTACTGTACAGTTCCTCCCTCCTAGCCTTGACTACATTCGTATGTACTATGCTTCTCACATCCTTCCTACCACGTTGTAACTGACAGGAACTCCACAGTTCTTTTCAGGACGCGTCACATGTGCAACACCGCGGTAGATCAGCTCCAAACACCGAGAATGTGTGCATGGACTTGCGAAAAACGTGATTCAATCCGCAGGAGCAGAGTTGGCTGCTTCCCCGAGCCAAGTGGGACAAGACCGGGTTTGCAAGTTGGGGATCTCCATGCCAACTGTACACCCAGCGACTAGCGCAGGAGCCGTACTTAGCTGGCGAGTAGCACATTTTCGCACGGCTTGTGACGAGGGAGAAATACCAAGCTGCTTGCTCAATTGATGGCGACAAAGCAGGGTACGAAGTTACCACATCGAAGGTGGCCGACAGTATGCGACGGCAATCGATCGTGGCTGGAACTGGTGGTGCGATTTCGATTTCCACTCTGTCAATCGCACGATCGATGTGGCAGTTTGAGCCATCCGATCAGGGGTTTTATGCGTGTGCACGATTTTCGCGACATGCTTAACGACGACGGGATACATGTCTTTCACGAAATAGCGAATCTTCTGTAGATGCTGCACACCGATATTTCACGGGATCGGTGTTGGACATGTGACGCGTCCTCAGAGAATTTGACGCGGTCGAATATAACTGACAAGTCAGGATGTCAGTACGGTTGAGAGGGGATTAATGGGGAAGCCCCAAACTGCTCCCATGTGATTCCGCCGTACCTGTTGCTTTGGTTTGTGGGAAAGATGGGTTTGGGAATACAGTACAGAGTTACGCCACGAGGCGATGATGTGATGTGATCATGCGATGTTGCGTAGGATTATATGCGTTCTTAAACGGTTCGCTGTTATTATTTATCGGTCAAGTGGGTTCTCAAACAGCAGACCCACACCCAAGGCAAGTGCGTGCCCCCAATTAATTGTCACGGTCGTCCTCCCTGCGCTTTGCTGATTTTACACGGCCCAGCGCCGTTTACCGTGTTACCGTTCTGGAACGCAACGCACTAAACAAAATCGCTACAACACGCGACGACCTTTGAGTACACCAATTCGATAGTGTGCATTGCACACTGACACCTAGTTTGGCAAAAATATGGGAACGGTGCCCCAAAACTCAACAGACACAAAGTGCACTTCGCGAAGACCCTAGACTGAAACTGGTGGGCATTTATTGGATGTCGTGCGGTAAATACAGTAAATGCCCGCACCTGCCCAATCTGACACCTGTCAGACAGGTGTTCGCGTCGCGGGACATTCGTTCATGAACAGCTGAGATACCCCAGACCTCTTGAATTGATTGTAAAGATTCTGCACGGAACAGTAATGGTTATTGTACACACGTACAAATCAAACTGTACAGTACTCTCACCTTGAATACAGAGCACTGCTCGGAGGTCTGTATGTGCAATTCGGTAGCCTGGTTAGTGTGCTGCAGAGGGCATGCTACAGAACTACTGCATATTCTAATGCATTAGGTTCTGATAGTGTCTCACATTCCTCACCATCCACTATACAAATGTCTCCGATCCAAACTCCCAAAACGAGATATAATCAAAGCCTTCGAGTCTACAATTCAGAACTAAACAAAACGGACGGCAAACCCACAACACACACGCCTCAAATCACAGCAAGCGCTTCTCCATTCATGGAATTTGGTGATGATGGTTTCTCACAACACACCTGCCTCGTGGCCACAAGAGGGGCAAAGAGACCCCCACACACGCATCCGCCTCTTCTGCCCCTTCCACCCAAGGCGACTTGTGTGTCAACTCACTAGTCCCAGCTTCCTTGTCTTCTGCTCCATTCTGTTTGTCACCTATGCTTGGTATACTTGGCTCTTCGCTTCAACCTGATCTCACTCACATCCATCTACGGTACTTACATTGCGCCAGCAACTCCTTCTGCGACTGAGACTGCGCTCACAGCTGCGACACCAGTAAGGCCCCTTCAACGTGGCCCTGCAGAGCCTCAGTAGCAGCTTCCGCCTCCACTCCACTGCTCTCTCCCTCTGCTTCCTCCTGCGGCGCCTCAATGGCAGCTTCTGCCTCCACTCCACTCCTAACCCCCTCTGCCTGCTCCACCGAACGCAACTCATTCCCTCTCTGCTCTTCACTCCTCTCTTGTTCCCGAGACGTCTCATGAGCAGATGCCTCCATGACACTGCTCTCCCCATCTGCCTCTTCGCTTACAGTGTCAGGAAGCAGAAGGCTTCCCACCTGGTGCCTCCTCCTCTCTCCCACCTTGATCTTACCCCCCTCCTTCCTATACCCCTTGTCGCATTCACCGCTCCCTTCCCTCCTCAACCCACGCCCTTTGCCCCTCTTCCTCCCAACCACCCCCTCCGAACCCTTCCCTCCTTCCCCACTCCCACACTCACCACCAACCCCAACACCCCCACCAACACCCCCACCACCACCCCCACCAACACCCCCACCACCCCCCCACCACCACCCCCACCACCACCCCCACCACCACCCCCACCACCACCCCTCTCCAGAGCCAGTTTCGCGCGGTATTCAGCAAAGGACGGGAGGGTGGTGACCGAGGCAGCGACAGGCGCTCGGAAGGGCAGCCCGCGGGGGTCCGAGATCGACACGAGGCGGCGCTGGACATCAGTGTGAGAGGGCTTGTGGATGTCACCGCGAGAGGGCTGATTGCCAGGCTTGCTGCTGTGCTGAGATGCTGCCCGCAGTGGCATGCCGTACGGCCGGAATGATGGCTGTGAGCTGCTGCTACTGGTGCCCCTGCCGCTGCTGCTACCGGTGCTGGTGCCGCTGCTGCTGCTACTGTTGTTGTTTCCGTGCCCGCGTGCCGCGGTGCTGTGATTGGCCAAGCTGCGCTGGCATGTGGGTATACCCCTGCGGCTGGGAATTCTCCCACGGCCGGGCTTCACTGCAGGTCCTGCAGTGCCGACCTCAGTAGCATGCGACCCTGCATCCTCCACCACAGCAGCAGCAACTGCACCTTCCATTCCAGACACTGAAGCTGTTGCTGCCTCACTGTTGCTAGCATCTGATGGTACTGCCGCCGCCCCCGCCGGCCCCGCCACCGCCGCAGCTGCTGCTGCTGCTGCTGCTGCTGCCGCTGCCGATGGCGATGCTTCTGCTGCTCCTGCTGTTGCTGGTTCCGCAGAATCACCAGCTTCCGAGGGCACCTGGTTCTGCTCAACCACAGAAGAAGCCTGCGCAAGGCCATCCTCCCGAGCCTCCAGAACCTCCCGAGCCTCCTGAGTCTCCCAAGCCTCCAAAGGTTCGGGGAGGTACGGCGCCCGTCCCTCATACGCACTGTACACAAGCGGCGCCGAGAAACCGGGGGGTAGGAAATCGTCACTGTCGTCACTGTCCTCCTCCTCCTGCCGCCTTCCCTCCCCTTGCTGCTCATCCCCCCTCCAGAACCCACCCTGAGTCTGCCCCAGCTGCCCAGAAAAAAACCCTCCCCACATCCCGCCCTTCCTACCCCACCCTCTCCCCCGGCCCGCCACAGAAACCGCCGCCTCTCCAGTCCCACCTCCCCCCATCCCCTTCCCCCAACCTCCCCCACTCCCGCTTCCTATCGCCCAACTCCCCCCACTCCCACTCCCTTCCCCCATCCTCCCGCACCCCCATTCCCCTCAACCTCCCGCTCCATGCCCTCCCCAACCTTGTCCCTCTGCTCCCCAGCAACCCCAACCGCCAGATGCTCATGGTGCCCGGAGGCGAGCTCACCGCACGAGTTGGAGCGGCGAAGGGACCGCTGCAGGGAGGGGGTGTGCGTCCAGATATACGCCATGGTCTCACCAGCTAGCTCAGTCTCGGTGCCACCACGCTGCAGCATTGACACTCGCTCCAGTGCCCGCCGCCTCGCACTGTAAGCCGATTTCAGTGCCCCCCGGGGTCTCAACGACCCACGGGAGTCTTGGGAACGGGACTCCTGAGAATCAGAATTCTGAGAACGGGACCCCTCACACCCCTGAGTCTCTCGAGGCCCTTCACAGCTGCCACAGCCCTCAGTCCCCTCACACCCTTCACGCCCCTTAGACCCTTCACCCCCACCACACCTGTGACAACCCACAGCGCCCTCAGAGGCCCCAGAGCCCTGACACCGTTCCACAGCTGAACCTGACCCAGCCACGTGGCGAGCTGTGATAGGCCCGGAGGAAGCCACCTGTTCTGCTGCCTCCTCGCCTGCCGCCGACCCAAGCGCCGAAACAGAGCTGGAGGCTCGGCGGTGGGCCTTGCTGAAGCTGCCGGGCTTCCTGCTCCGAACCTTGAAGCGGCTCTTGGCGTTGCTGCCCACAGTACCGTTGCTGTTCTCAGAAGCATTGCTGCTGCCACTAGCCTTGCTTTCTAGAGTTTGCGTGGGATTCAATGGCTCATTCCCTGCAACCCCCGTGCTCCCTGCACTCCCTCTATCCAATTCCTCTGCATCCCCTGCTTTTCCCGCCTTCTCTTGTGCTGAAACGGGCTCATTTACGGCCAGCGACGGCTCAAGGCTCCCCCCTCCGCTCCCCACGTCTCCGACAGCAGCGACGGCAGGGGTCGAGTCAGGGACTGTTACAGCAGCAACAGACGGAGCAGCAGCAACAGACGGAGCAGCATTAGCGGCTGCAGCTGGTTCTGCTGTAGCATCGTAACCTGCCGCGCCAGTGGTTGCCGCTGCCGCAGCAGCAGTAGGAGTAGCAGGAGCAGGAGCAGGAGCAGTAGCAGGAGCAGTATTTGCATCGGGTGTATCAGAGGGGAAGAAAGCATTGCAGGCAGTGAGTGGGACGAGGTCCAGCAGGGAAGCAGCAGTGAGCGAGTCGTGCCTCAGAATGTATGAGGCCGTTGCCACGGCCACTGCTGCTGCTGCTGCTGACGTGATGGCTACAGAGGAGGAGGAGGAGGAGGAGGAGGAGGAGGAGGAGGAGGAGGAGGAGGAGGAGGAGGAGGAGGAGGAGGAGGAGGAGGAGGAGGAGGAGGAGGAGGAGGAGGAGGAGGAGGAGGAGGAGGGCTGTACAGCAGGAGTTGCTGCGCTTTGTCCTGCTTCTCCTGTTCCACCATCAGCAATACCTCCCTCTGCTGCCACCCATGCCAACGAGTCACCTAGATTGCCAGAGTGAGTTGACGCTTGATCATTTGACAATGATGATCCACACGCACTCGTCTCAACAGGCGCACTCGTCTCAACAGGCTCAAAGGCAGATATCTTCGTGCAAGCCCCAGGCATGGAGCGCACGCTCATGGTCTCCGCGCTGCTGCTGCTGCTGCTGCTGCCGCCATTGCTACTCATGTGCAACCGCCTCCTCCTTGTTGACAATCTCACGCTCCCACCCCAGCTGCTGCTGCCAGCGCTACCACTGCTGCTGCTGCTGCTGCTGCTGCTGCTGCTGCTGCCGCTGCTAATGCCGCTGCTGCAAAGGCCACTCCTGCCGCCGCCCTCCTTCAAGCACCCCGCGTCACTCCCCGAGCCCCCCACCTTTAAGCACCCCGGCTCTTTCCCCGAACCACCCGCGAAGCAGCTCTCAGTGCGCCGGTTCCGCCCCCATCTCCCCCACGCTGCTCCGCGCGCTTCTCCCGCGGTCCCTCCCCGCCTGCCCGCCTGCGCGTTCCCCCCTTCCCCGCCCTCCGCCTCTAGGTCCTGCGCAAGCGCGTCGGCTCCGCGCTGGTTCCGGGCGCGTCCCGCCGCCAGATCCTGCTGCTGCGCGTCCAGATTTACTAGGCGACACAAACGATCGCCCCGCCCGAAACCAGTGCGGAGGCGATGCGTGTCACCGCCTTGGGGAGTCTGGGGAGTTGACTGCGACGGCCTTCTAACGGATGGTGACAATAACGAAGACGACGGAGGGTGTATCCGCGCCGGGCAGCTCTCAATTCCCCCTTCCGCGAATTTATCCCCCCTTACCTCATCCGCTTTCCCTCATCCGCCTTCCCCCCATCCGCGGATTCATTCGCTCCGCCTTCCCCTCTCCGCCCCTGCTGCCCTTCCCTTCTCCCCATCCCTGACTCCTCCGTCCACAGGGCTCCCTCCTCCTGCTCTTTTGTTCTCGGGCTGCCCGTGATTTCTGCCCGAAGCAGCGGCAGGGCAGTCAGGCGCAGGTTCAGCTGGGGGAGGCTCACCCGCCCTCTGAAACGCGCCCGCGATTTACACTCTAGGCCACCATTTTCCATCTCGAAGACCTCCGTAGCCGCTTCCTTCGCTTCCTTCGCGTCCCCCTCCTCCCAGCCGCTGCTCCGCGCACCCCCTTCCGCCGCCTCTTCTGCGCTCTCGCCAGCGCAATCCCCGTCGCTTCTGCGCGCATTCCCTTCCCATCCACCACTCTCGCCCCCTCCGCAATCCGCGGGCGCATCTTCGTTGCTGACAGCCGGCGATTCGCTGCCCACAGAGAGGGTAGTTTCCGCGTTTACCATGACAGAATTGGGCGTTTCAACTGAATCAGCAGTCATTGCAGCTGCCGTGAAATCATCGCATTTCGCCATCGGCCCAGCTTCACCCTGGAAATTCCCCTGAATCCTCTCAGGTACAACAGAGATCTCCAGCGTGCCGGGAGCGTCGGCTACGCGACGCTGTTCATCTACCTGGCACTCTTCGTCCTTCACCTGCAGATTGTCCTTCAGGTGGTTCTTCAGGAGGTCTTCTGCACGAGCCGATCGAAACGCTTCAATGTATTCACCACCCCACGGCGCCGCGGCTGCTCTAGCCGGGCCGTCACATAATAACGGCTGTTCATCCGTCGCCGTCAATACAGGCGGCTTGTAACCATCACCGTTGCCGGTTAGGCCGTGCCCTCCGCAGCTCTGCTGCCGGCGATGATTCTCAGCAGTCAACTGGCGGGTTACCACCTTAGCTGATTCGCTGACACCTCCATTCGCCACCGCGTCAGGAGTGGTCTGCGAAAGCTCTAGCGACGGACGAGGAGTGAACGAAATCAAGTTTCCGCTTTCGCCAAGGCGGGAGAGTTCGAAGCCCGGTTGGAGGGAGTGCGACTTGAGCAGGCCCAGAGCCGGCTCCATCTCGCGTCGTCGCGCTCCCCGTTCCTTGCGGAAACTTGATATCATGTTCTTAAAACGGGAAGACTCGCGCTCCGATGAGATCGCCATCATTGGTCTAACGGTTGGAGTCTTTTTAAGCGTCTGGCTTGACGGTTGGAGTCTTTTTAGACGTCTGGCCTGATGGTTGGAGTTCGATAAATAGAGTGCTTGTGCAGGAACGCTGAGGAAATACAATGTAAGAAGATATCGCGTCGTCGGAACGAATTCGTTGATCGTCCGACAACTTTTGAGTCGACTCAAGAAAATCAGGCGGGCTTGTCGCTACGACGCCAATGTCTTGCTTCAACGGGACGGCGCTGCTTGTAAACCCTGATTCGACGCACGACGAACACGCATGCCGAACGACTAGGTTTGCTCCAACAGTTGACCGAAAAGCGCTCTCAGAGGTGATGTTAAGTGGCTTCTAGAGCACAGCCTGAAAATGAATAAAGATGTGTTGGGAGGAGGGAGCCATGGATTCTACCGTGCGGAGAAACGAGAAATGGAAGGAATGGGTGCGAGGGAGAATGCATAGCTCAGATTTTCCCGTGGCCCACAAGAAATGGAATGGATATTCGATGTTCCCAAAAAGACATCCCGTGACCTTGTCCAGTGTAGTCTGCTGGTGCATCCATGATCCATCCACCCCTCCCTCCCTTGCCGCGAGACACCTCCACACTACACATCTTCTCTTCACGCTTATCGTTCTTGCGCACCGAGACGCAGCCTATTTACCGAGCTTATAACCCCTCTGTACCATGATCATCAGGTTCAGGACCGCGCGGTAAGGCAAATGGTGAGCGGAAATTGGAAAACACATCTTGACAGTTGTTATTCCGCCACCGATCTGGAAGCCTCTGTAAATTGATGCAAAATCTCAAAATCGGCTTGTTCCATCTGGCACTGGCTTCTTCGGACGGTGGCGTGGGGGTGCTTCCTAGATTCCTCCATTTTCAGTTCTTCTCCCCACACTCGCTCCCCCTCCCACCACCCGCCCCAGCTACAGCATCGCTTGAGGCAGGGCAGGAGGGCACGGAGACCCTCGTCTCCTCATTTGAGCATCAAGGGCAGCGGCAACAGCCCCATCAGACCAATCACATCGTGTCAAACCATAACCGGCATGGCGTTGCACCAAAAGAAAAGTGAACTTGTAGTATGTGTTCAGAAATGTATTTTCTTGACTTGTTTGCAATAACAACAGCCGTCGATGGAGTACATTGTACGTGCCAGATTTCCAGTGAAGACTCGTCCGCCCCTCGCCATTTTGTTTGAACAGACAGCAACTTTGGCCTGCTCGATCCCTCAACAGACTGTGCTGTACTCCTGCCTGCCCAGCTACACCCCATCTGCCCGCAACCACCAGCAAGCTCATACCAGCGAGGGTGCGCTGCGGCCCTCGCACTGCTAACGACACACCGTCACCTGCCAAAGTGCAATCTGGTTACAGCCCAAGCAGGAAATCGTGAAATTTGTTTTCACTCGCAGCCCAATGGCGAATGAGTCTAAAGCCATTCCAGACCGTGCGATACTGTACTGTAGTGCGGCTGCTTCCGTGCATCAGCGAATTTCCAGCCCGCAAGATTCAAGTGTGTCAGCACTGACATTTGCACAACGTAACGGCGGTGTGCGCTTCCAGATGTCCTCGGTAGTGCTGGCTGGCTGAACACAAAAATAGGTTTTGCAACTTGCATATGGCATTCATTTTAGACACACAAAACACATTTTAACCTTTACACAAAGCCAACAAGGCCGTTTTAATGGCAACAAAATATCACGTATCATATTTCCGTTATTCTTGGGACACAAAAAAAAAATAGCTCGTAATGGCAGCACGTATTGGGGTTGTGCATGAGAAGGCGTGGCTCGACCGTTTCGGGTTGAGACGTGTTACGAATAGTGAAATATGATTGTGCACTCCTAACCGCAGCAAAGCGAAGCACACAGTATCGAAGCACGAATACGAAGATTCCGAGTTGACTCGAAGCGTCGCAGACAGTTGGGATGGATCTGGACCGTCGGAAGCCGACAGCATCGGGCAGCTGCAAGAGCAAGGAATTAGCGGGAACAGTTTCGAAACTGTTCGAGCAGCACAGGTGGACTTGAATGTGAATAAGTGAATGTAACCCTTGGAGTACATGGCTAGCTAGGTCGCTTCGTATTCCACCTTGTACTACTACTTATGTGCTTGTATCTGCATGTTTTAATTTATCTCAAAATTTTACATTCACTCTGTATGAGATCAAGGGCCCACCACTACCAATCCACTGTTTGCGAAACTTCCCGAGGTGAACCTAGGCTCGATCAACTTCTGATCGTAACAAGATGCATGTATGCTGGCAACCAGCAGTATGGACCACGAATATTGAAATGTACAATAATATTCCACATGCGTAACAATCCAACAGCAATATCATCCACACACACAGCAGCAGCCCTGCACGCGCCTGGTTTCGCGTGTAGCAACTCTATGCGAAGTAGTGAAATTCCGTAACCACATTCTGGAGCTTCGGCATTCGCCGAGTACACTCTGATCGTGCACTTCGGTATGCAACGTTCAACACTACACCGATTTGGAGGGAAGTGACGACATTGCACAAACGAGTATGTGCAACTGTCTGTTGCGAGCACCTGCACCGACTACTCCTGGGCAGGTAGAAAATACACCTGACAATAATTTTCACCTGATGGTATTTTCCCCTGGCGTTGCCAACGTGGAATCGAATACTAGAGTAGGTGCTTGCACGCTCTCAATGAACAACGTTCTCGTAGAACGTTATTGCACACGTCACTTTGTTTTCTCTATGTTTCATGTTGTTTCTGTTGTAATCTATCAATTAATCAATTTCGTTCCTTCAGTTACTACATACCAAGCGCACGGTTTCTGAATACAGATATCTGGTTTTCAGCAATTATGTATAGCAAAACTCGCGCTTCTCTCTCCGGTCGTCCAACTCTGCACCTAGGTTCTCCCACAATCGCCTATTCTTCGCGAAGAGTTTGATCAACATGGCAAATAATAGGGGCTGCATTTAACTTGCTCCATATTGTGACACGACTCTACGAGGAGTGTGCAGTGCAGTCGTCATAGCATTACAAATCTTGATAATACAGCACACTCGGATAGGCAATTACAGTTGGTTCGGTCATAAACTACGTACTAAAAACTACCCACGATAAGAAGGGTCGAGAGGGAGGGAAGCAAATCAAGATCTAAAAAATACAAATGAGACTAGGTGGCAGGTCCGAGAGACCTGCGGGAATGTGAAGGAGTTTGTCTCCTTTACAACAAACTCTTCTACCTATCGAATCAGAATCTTCAAAAATTTGAAGTAAAGTTTCAAACATTTTACATATTGTGGCAGGTGCTGAGCGATGATCGGCAATGGCAAAAGTCTAATGATCCCTAGCTCAGTCTTTTGCAAAACCAAACAAACCCCTGGTGCCAATTTTGCAACCAGCAGAGTTGTGTTAAATTGTTTTACTTACCATATTCTAGTGGGTGGTGGCTACAATTTAGTGTAGACAAACGTTGAGGCAAACTAGTCAGATGTTTGACATGCACTAATGCTTTCACCTACCAAAAGGAAGGAAGAATGAAGGAATAATGAGGGGAAGAAAGGAACCTGGGGTGGCCAACTCCATGATGGGGCAATATGTAGCACGATGGGGTGGCAAGTAGTACGATGGGGCGGCAAATAGCACGATAGGGTGGCATGTAGTGCGATGGGGCAGCGAGTAGCATGATGGTTATACGATCAGAGAATGATCGCTACCAGGATCTACTCAGGAAGGTTCGCACGCAGAGAAGTGAAGTTGGTGGGCCCTTGACCTCAATAGCAGAGTGAATGTAAAATGCTTGAGATGATAAAAACATGCAAATACAACGATATAAATAAGAGTACAGGGGAATACGAAGCGACCTAACTAGCCATGTACTCTAAGGGGTACATTCCCTTATTCAAATACATTCCCAACCGTGTTGGCGCGTACAGTTACGAAACTGTTCCCGCCGAAACCATCCTGCCTGCAGCTGCCCGATGCCGTCTGCTCCGACGGTCCAGATGCGCCCCAACTGTCTGACGCTTCGAGTCAATCTCCAACCGTCTGACGGTTCGCGTTCTTGCTTCGATACTGCGTGCTTCTCTTTGCTGCGGTGAGGAGTGCTCAGTAACAATTAAGTTTTACTATTCGTAACACCCCCCTTCACTCCTGGCCGTGGCTCAGTTTGACCTGCTTGACCACGCCGCTGAGTTCGGAGCAGTGTTGATACTGCTGGCGTGGCAGTCGCTTCGTGAGGAAGTCTGCTGCCATGTCACCGGTCGGGCAATAGGTCAAGTTGACCTTGCCCTTGTCCACCTCGTCCTTCACGAAGAAATATCGCAGCGCAATGTGCTTGGTGCGATTGACAAAACCAGGTTTGTTCGCGATGCGAATCGCGCTCTGGTTGTCGCAGTGAAGTCGAAAGGTTGGCGAAGCTGGAATTTTCGCCTCCTGCAGGAGTTCCTGTAGGTAGAGGCCTTCGCGAACTGCTGCGGTTGCTGCGATGAATTCTGCTTCGGCTGACGACAGGGCAACCAGCTCCTGCTTCTGCGAGTTCCAGGAGATTGGTCCCGTTGGTTCGAGTCGGAACAGGAAGCCGGTCCTGGACCGTCGATTGTCGGGATCTGCTGCATGATCGGCATCCACATAGCCGACGAGATTGAAGGATGGGGTTGGTGCAGTTGAGTAGCACAGCCCAATCTTGGGCGTTGAAACGAAAAATTGCAAAGCGCGCTGCAGGTCCAGGTGATTCTCAGCCGTTGGTTTCCGTGAGTACTGGGCAAGCTGACTTGCGATGTAGGAGAGGTCTGGCCTGCAGGTGACAAGGACGAAGAGGAGGCATCCCAGCTGCTGCTGGTAAGTCTGAACTCCAGCAGGGGATAGGGCTTTGTTGTCGGGTTTGTGGTTCGGTCCAGGGGTTCGGTAGGGAGTTGAGAGAGGTGCAGGGGGAATGTTGAACCGCTTCCCTAACTCCTCTGCGTACTTAG